CATCAAAAGTCCTTGTGTCAATGAGTATCTTTGCGTGTCCCGTGTGCGTTGTTAATAATTGTGTTTAGCCAATTTATTATAGATATATTCAATATGTATAGTAAATATACACATCTCGCGGCTGCGGAAATTGATCTATTTCAACGTCGTTTAGAATCTCCTACGCGCGTCCTTTTGATCTAACGAGCTCGGCGTAATTAACAGCTGACAAGCAGATGTTAGCACGGTATCGCGAAACGTTTATGCGTCAAAAAGATTATAAAAGCTATATATGTGTGTTTCAACGCGGCCGCTGCGCTTTCGGCGCGACGCGTTGAAAGCACGTGCAGAGAGATTAGTAAATAAAATGATAAATGATAAGCCATTTGAATAATCAAGCGTTGCTCAAACGCGCCACATGCGTCTCGAAAAATTGATAGGGTTAATTGACTCAATTTTTATTTGGAATAGATAATTAATCGCGCGAATTAACAGTTACGAGATATCTGGAATGACGAATCTTCTCTTTTTCGTACACGTGCGTGAATCAATCGCATAAGAAGGCGATATACACTCAATACATCTTCTTTTTCACATTCACATAGATGTTACAGAAGAAGAGACATTTAAGATGTGTAAAGAGACTTTGAAACTACAACGTGCGAAATTAACTACGGGCAAAACATTATATTTATATATGTCAAATATATAAATACGCGAAACCATCTCCAAATTTTTCTAGGGAAAAAAATGATGTACCTTTTTTGGGGATTTCAAATCTTTCTATCCCGGCTGGTTCAAGCGAATGCAAATGGGAAACAAAATCGCGGAAGTTTTCGCGGGATGCGCACGAATATATACATATATATGTATGTGTACACATATCGACCTATCGACTGTACATTCGCGTACCGGCAATCAATCCGATGAACGATAATGAATACGTGCGGCCCCCACGTATGTATACGTATAGGTTGGATCCCGAGAGTGTGCCTGGTAAGTGTCGAACGGACGCGAAATTATTGCCAGGATCCCAATCGAGTCCCTGTCACGTATACGTGTTGCATCCGCGTGTGTGCGCGAAAGGTCGCGAACGAAAGTACCGCAAACGGTATTTACCGAAAGGTAATAATTAATAAACGCGCTGCCGCTTCCAGGTTCACGATTCGTATATACCGAGCGCGAGCTTCTCTCGATTCTTGTTCCCTCGGAATCAACCGGGGAAGATCTCGATCCCGTTGGCCGCTCCTTAGACTTAGCCTGATGATGATCTTACCTAATCGATATTCTGTTTTACATATGCACATATATTCTTTGCGTTCGCAAATTAAACGGTACGTATACGTAGACGAAAGAGAACTATGAAGAAAAGAAAATTCTCTCGTGATTATTATCGATGCAAATATTCCAACGCGACATAGATACTGATGTCTATCGAGTGTGTGTATTTTATATAATGCGTTAATCGCGAGGGAAAAAATATCTTCTCGAGATACGCGTTTCTTTCTTTTCGCTTTATTTTCCAAGTGGATAAACGTATTTGTTCTATAACGCATTTGCAAGTAGGAGAGAGAAGGATTGTCGCACGCCTGGTTAGCAAAATACTATATACGTGACTTTAGATTGCATTGATAATGCGGCATTGCTCTGTAATTATGCGTCGTTAAGAGAAAAGAAGTTAATTGATAGTTATTGTATAGATATTCCTATATTGTTGCTAGATAAATGCTATGGAATTCTTTCATCATCTGTGTACGAAGAACGTTTATATTTTAATTCGGTCAAATTAGTCGGTCAAGGAGGTTCAAAGGGAAATCGCACGTGTTTTCACTAATTTTGTTTTTCGCGATTGAAGTATATCGGCTAAAAAAATATAAAAGACATCCTCGAAAAAATGCAGCAAGCCCACGTTCGATTCTGTATACAACGACGAGAAGAAGGAGGAAGTGCCTAGGAGAAAGTAAGCCGCCGAAAGTTTCGTTTTCACGTCTGGCCCGGTCCTAAAGCGACCGGTTCTCCGATCCGATCGCTGTTTCAACCAGATTGCGAAACTCGCGATTATCTCGGAGGTTGGGAAATCGAGATCGGAAATCGTTGATTATTAACTTAACATTCGCACGATCTTCAACATTTTGGACATCGGAGAATTATTTATTTTCGCATTATAATCAGAAAATCTCGAAAATATTTAACCTTTTTAAGCAGAGACAAAGCGCGAATGTGAAATATCGGATATCGATAAATCAAAGCCGGCGTCTGCCTCTCTCGTCCTCCTCCTAACACGAATCAGGGATGCGAGTGAAAGGGTCCAGGATCAACAGGTTGCTCGTTTCAGTTCTCGAACGACTTTTAGCCAGAAAGCCGCGGCATCTTTGCTCGCATTAAGATCTCTCAAACCGATAGAATGTACAGATGTTGAGTCTATTTCACTTCACACACACATTCAGAAGTAATGAAACAGAAGTTTTCACATTGAAACACGTGGCGGGAAAATAATTACACGCGTCAATTATTCGATGAAAAATAATTGCAAGTCGATCAAAATAAAAACTAGGCTAAATTCGATCGACTCTTTTAAATTACAGTTGCTATTTAACATTTTTAATACCATTTACGACATAATTATCTCGAAACCGTAATCTACAGTAATAAAAAAAAACCATTAATTTAATAATAATAAAATTTACAAAATTTAATCATAAAAGATGATAAAAAAATGTCAGACGAATATCTGATGAATCATTCCAAACGAAAGAAAGATAGAAAGAGAAGCGAAACGCGGAAGAGAGGGAACGAGAGAGAGAGAGAGAGAGAACTAAAAACGAGGCGAGAGACACAAAAAGAAGTTACGGCGAGCGAAGAGGAGAAAGGAATCCTTCCGTGACTCGCGAGAGTCCGCAGGTCTCTCGTGGTTTCCGCGTTCGCACAACAGGCATCGCGTCTACCAGACCGGTTTTGGTGATTCAGAGCCTCGTGCCTTCGCTACGTAATTTATGTAGAGCCCTCCCGCACTCTCTTTTTTTTCTCTCTCCTCGTACGACGAGAGAGAGAGGAATAACTGCGATCAGCATGATCGGTCGAATATATAAACATATAACTTTAAGCAAGTATAAAAACATGTCGGGAAATCATTATTTAGACGTACAAATAAAGTTTCTCCAGCGAGAGAGAACCTTATTCAGTAATATGACAAAAATATAAATTCACAAAAAGATTTTTCTGAATAAAATTATTCTAGCATCTCTTGAAATTCCTTTAGATTTTTAGTATATATATATGTGTGTGTGTGTGTGATGTAGATAAATATATCGCAATTAAAGATGTTGGTAAAAAAAACCCCGTGAGAACACACCTTTCATTTCGTCGTTTTCTTTTTTCGGTTCGTTTCACCTATCTTTTTTTTATACTTCATATTTATCTTCCTTTATCATCTTTCACCGAAGCAGCTCGACTACGACTAACTTCCGCGTTCGTCGGAGGTAGAAGAGAGATAGCGGGATCCTTTTTGGATCCTGCCCACGGATGCCGGGCCCTGATGGCCCTGACCTAAACCGAGACACGCTTTCGCGGGTTATAATGGCCGCCATGAACACATCTTTGTCTTCCCTCGCGTCATTAAAACTGAATATCAACGGTGCTGCTTTTTATTAGAATTAAAAAAAATTCCTTCGCGATTCGATGACTATATAAATAAATGTTGAATGCAAATATAAAACTCACTTTGCTGCGTCAAACCAGACATCCAAGTATCTTGTAAATCAGCTCCAATCTATTTTATAATGTTAAGCTTCTAGTTATAAACTAGTCTCGCGTCATTGAAATAACGTCCAAGTGAAGAATATGTCGTAACAATATATAAAATGATAGATTTAGATTATATAATTCGGAAATAAGTAAATTTCTCTCTCTCTCTCTATTAGTACCGATAATGAAACGTCTGAAAACAAGCAGTTGACGGAAAGTAAATCGACCGTTCTCATTTCGTACGAAGCGACATACTTTCTGTAACAACATTTCAATTTGTGAAATTAATATGGCAACCGAGCGCTCGTGCATCGCTAAGTAAGTAAAATCGAAAGTGGCGAAATGCCGTATTTCGAGACAAGGAGATAGCGTTTCAATTTGATAGAGAGAAGTGCATTTACTCTTGGAGAGAGGAAAATACATACATACACACAGCTTCTTTTCCCCTAAGTAGTTGTACACAGTACGGATGAGGATGACGTCAAAGACTTTAAAGACAAGATCGGTACATAAATGTTTGCTTACCGTTGAATAATCGCGTGCTTCGAGAGAGACACGAACGTTCTCCAAGCGACGTCTCTAAGCTTGGAAACTCCGGAACGGAGGATCGAAGAAATAACATGGAAAAAAGCGGCACGCCGACCTACATATTTAAAAACGATCGGAGCGTGATAATTAAATTCGTCAAAGACTCGAGACAAGTCGGAGCGTAGCAACAGCAAAATCCGAGAGTAAAAGCTCCAAGAGTGTTGTTCTTCAGCATCCGCGAATCCGGAGCCGGAGCTACATCGAGGTAGAGCGAGAAAGAGAAAGATAGATAGAGAGAAACGGATAAAACGAGTAGAGACGGAAGGAAAACCACAGACGTTGAAGTGAAAAAAAGTGCGGTGCGATCAGCCGGAGCGCAAACAGACAGATAGAAACGAGAGAGAGAGAGAACGGTGGCGTTCTCCAAGCTGCGGAGATAAGGAAGAGGATCTAGGCCTGGATCTTAGGAGGCTGAACGGAGCAGGGACGGAGTCTCCTAGGAAAAGAGACTCGTCATCGGCAAAGCTTGTACAGAAGAAGAGGAAGAGACCGCGCGGAGCACAAGCACAACACAGCACGGCGGTCTGCGCGCTCGCGCTTTTGCGCCGCGAAGTGGGGTCAGGTTGTCAGATGTGTAGTGGGGGAGGTGGGGGCGGGAAAAAGCGGATGTTGGGGCGGCGGTGAGCGAGACGGAGCATCGGCGGGTACGACAAAGAGGAAAGGAGCCTCTCCAGAGGCGAAACGGCGTGGCGCTTGCGGACTCCAGTGTCTTTCCGGACGCCACACGTTCGAGACACGCACGCGAGTTTCCCTCTCCCTTTCTCTCTCTCTCTCTCTTTCTCTCTCTCTCTCTCTCTCTCTCTCTCTTCTCCCTCTCTCTCGCTCGCTCTCACTCGACTTCTAGTCCGGACGCCCGGTATCTCTCTATCCTCCTCGCCGCGTCTTTCCTCGTGCTGTCTCTCTGCGTTCACCTCCAGGACGACGTCGAAGCACGTCGTGCCCTGCCTCCTCTCGCGGAGCAGGACCAATAGGAACGCCGCTTCCGGCAACGACGACGCTCCAATCGGCACACGGCGCCGACGGATAGACGCTGACGAGCGGCGATTTTGACAGTCGACACTGTGCTACTCTCCGCGCTCGCGGTTAATCGGCGCACCGGGACTTGGTATATGCTCGATGTGACTTGATTCGAGTCCGAGTTCTGGGATTCGAAAATCGGAGCAGTGCCCTCCGTCATCTCGCGGGCTCGCGAAAGTGTTCTCTTCCTCCGTCCATTGGAAATATTGCATTTTTTTCGGTGAATTATATATATATATATTTTTTTTTTTACGGACCTACTGTGAGTGTAAAACGAAGAAGCGATTTGTCTCGATGATTTGATTCGAGCGAAACGATAGTCGCATCCGGAATTGAAACTCATCGAACGAGATTTTACAAATTACTCTCGCTTTCGAAATTCGAAAATAAATCATCGCGACGTTCAAACGCGCTCGTTCCGAAACTCGAGTCCACTCGGGAAACGGGCGGACTGCCTCGGTGAACAATCCAAAAACCCGAGAGATCGATCAAATAAATTCCTTCACCGAGGAGAGACACGTCGGTCCCGCATCATCTCTCTCGCATTGTGAATAATATATCTCCGAGGCACAGCGGAGCGTCGTTCTCGCTCCGATACAAGTGAAAGGAACCTCGCGGAGGACTCGCGCGCGTTTATCCGCGCTGGACATTGCGCGGGGAGGAGGGTTGGGGGGGGAGGAAAAAGGGGGTACCGCGAGAGATAATTAGATGCGCGCGTGAGGTAATCGGATGAGCTGCGCGATGGAGTATCAGCAATTGGCGCCGCCGCCGGTACCAGCCGGGGTGCTGCACACCCAGGCGCACCATCCTCCCCAACCTCAGCATCAGCCGCAGCAACCGGTCCAGCCGCCGCAGCATCCGCACATCGTAGTCGCCCCGGCTCATCAGCAACCCCAGTCCCAGCAACCACCACCGCCACCTCTGCCGCCGACCTCGCACGGCCACCAGGTGCACCCGCCGTTGCCACCCATCCACGATGACAGCACCAGTTCCAGGTGGTCCCAGTACCAGCACTTGTGGCGGCAGCATCATGTTTACATGAACGGTACGCATGCTACTAACCAGAATATAGATAGACGCGACGCCGTCTCTCGAGAACGAGAGCTTTCAAAGAGGCTGAATCGATATATATATATATATAATGTAAGTTTCGTATATCGCAAGATAGACTTCATCCTGGTAATCGTACGGATGGAAGCTAAACGTGGCTTTTGTAGTTAACGACTATAAATCATACATAGTATACCCCGCACGTAAAGCGCTTGGAAAATTGGCTATACAACTAGTGGCCGTGGAGAGGGAGAAGTCGTCGTTCAGTAGAGAAACGCCCACCTGTTGCTTACATTAGCCAGCCTACATTCGATCTGCAACTACTGCAGCAAGTTAACCAACCGACTATATATGTTTATTAAACATTATTCGCGCGGCACGACGCGCGTTCGTTTATTCACGGTGAAGAATTTACGTTATAAAGGAATATGTATATAAATAATAATAGTATTGCGACAAAAATAGATTTTTGAGATTTTTCAAGCTTTACATTAAAAAAAAAAAAACATGTTATATTGTGTCCTTGTGTGTTTTTTTTTTTTTTTTTTTTTTTTTAAGGAAGAATGAGAGATGTGAATGGTTGAGAGAGAGAGAGGAAACAAAATTATATATAAAATATAATTAATATAGATAATCAATTTTATATCTCTTTTTTAAATAACGGTCCATAGTATATGATGCGGCAAAGTTTACTTGTTGTCGACGCAAGATTGTCGTTGAAAAATATCTCTTATACCTGCGTCATTTATCGCGAAACATATCTGTTAACTAGGCGGGTCGAGTTAATCGAACATGGAACGTGAATGAATCATCCGTCTCCATGTATGTAGACGTGTGAATTCATCTATGCACCTATCCTAGTTACGGCGGATTCGACTCAAGGCTCTTCGCATTTGCATCCTCCCACGTCCTCAGCTCGTTTCGCTTCTGCTCGCGTTCGCGCTCTTTATCTCTCCCTCGTTCATTCATCATCTCCTTTTGTTGCGCGAGTAGAGAATTTCCGTGGAAAAAACTATTATTGTATCATTTATTTGCGTATGTTCTTAAGCCATGACTGAATTAAAATGAAACGTGCTCTATTCTCTATTCTTAGTCTCTTTCGTTATATATGTACACACACACACACACACACACACACACACACACACACACACACACACACATACTCTGTTCTCTATTTATTTCTATACCTATTATATTTTATAACAATGACGTAACAAATTTACTTGCACAAACAGATTGAATATTTATTCAAGATGTAAAAAGATAAAAATAACAAACTACTTGTCATTTATATGCTCTTTAAGTGTATCGTAAACATTTTCAGAAAACATTCGTTACAAATTTATGAACGCGATTCTATCAATATTAAATATTTTCTCAACAATTGACTTTTTTATGGATAATACAATTTTATCAGAAACGTTGGCAATGCTAAAAAAAATGTATCGTGAGATGAAAGCAAGGTTAAATGAATGAAAGCAAAACATTTCACCTCGTTAAATTGCGAGTCCGTGCTTGATCAAGAATTTCCTGGATAAATTCTCATCGTAATTTCGCATTATCAAACACAGGCGCATATCGAGCATGATGTTTCGCAAGACACACATTGAATTTTAATGACACGAGGAAGTTTTACGATACTGCGACAGATGCGACCAGACCTCTTCACACTTTCTTCTTTATCGATTTCATTCACGTTCTCTTTTTCCTGGCAGTCTAATTTACTATTGCTATACGAAATAATTGCCGTATAGTGACGTATACCATCAGTCATTAATATATGACATTTGTAGAAAATTCAATTTTTGTCACTACATAGAAAAAAAAAACGATAAATTCACATGATCAGATGTTTCATCTGATAAATAAGTTTTTCTGACACGAATTAATAATATTCAAAATATAAAATGTAAAATTAAATTCAACGTGTAAAGAAAGATAAAACTAGAGAGAAAGAGAACCGGTTTATGTAGATTATTTTTTCTAAAACTTTTGTCAATTTATATTCACGAATTAATGAACGGGTCAGCTTTTGATTGAACGACTGTTCGAATAGCAATACTCGGTGTCCGCGAGTTATATTGTTATCAAGCACAATAGATTAGAATCGCGTTTTAGGATGCACAATACGAGGGATGGGTCAGCCTAGCCTCTCTTAGTCCTAAAGCATATAGCATCACGTTAGTATTATCGTAATAGTGACAAATCCGCTGTAAACCAATTTAAAATTACGCTTTTTGCGCAAGGCCCCCCGTTTATATAGAATGACTATTTCAATGCTATAATAATATTTAAAGCGTGCCGTGAGGTAAAAGGAAGATATTTTAAGGATCCATTCAAAAGTTCGGGACAAAAGAAGTAGATATAATCGAGAAAATAATTTCGCACTTTATATATGGGAATTAATAAAAAGCAGAAAAATATATTGCAAGAATTCGCAAAATTGATTGTCAAATAAGTTAGATACTCCTATATCCATACTTGGATATTTTTAAAATCGTTGTTTAAAAAATTCATTTTTATCTAAATTAAGCGGAATCCGTAGATTAATATCGGTATGTTAATGTTCTTGATTGAGATTTTCAATCAAGTTATATGAGTTTGTTATTATTATCGATTGATCGAGTTTAAAACAGTTTGCCCAAAACGCCAACTTTAACATTTCGTTTGTCAAACTGATATTAAAAATTATCGAGTATAAAAGAGCTAAATCGTGACGTAAAATCGACAATCTTGTCGATATTGAAGCGCATCTCCAACTAACGAGATGGAGTTTCCGAGTTAACTCGCTTGTCGACCTACGACCTCGGGATATCGTTGTCGACTTTACATTCCTGATCGAAATTAAGAATCGCGATAGACGTAATTTTTTTGAATACAAGAAAGAGATATTTGTCATGTCGTTGAACGAGAAAAGTAGAGATCTTCGCCGCAGAGATACTCTTGTGACTATATAAATATATATATATACATATATACTACGCTATTTATACAAATTAACTATAAATGATCTAAGAAGCGTACGTAAAAGTGTAAACTTGCGTTTTCTTTAAACATAAAGTTGCGACCTTATGCACAAAGTCCGCTATTACTGATGCTTGTACAAGCACGCATATCATTAAACGCGTGTTCTCCAATAAGACGAGTGAAACTGTAAAGTATGTCGCGTGTGCGCATAACATAAATATATGCACATATGTGAGATGCTTTTTCCAATATACGTATATATTTATATATACACCATTAAACAATAGCACGCGTATATTGCAAGTGCATTCGGAGCACCAGTGCATTCACGTGCTCTGCCTTTATTAAAGAAGCCGATCCGCGAAATCCGATTTCGCTGGACGACATTGCGATCTCTAGAGATAATAATTTGAATTACTTATTCATCACTCACCCTGCTGCCCTGATTAAGGAAATCCTGCAACATATAATAATTATTAATTAGAACCTCCAATGATTGAAACATGATTATATAATGATATAATTGTGTGTACGAGATGATTATGTCGAGATATAATTGTACACGTAAAAAAATATACACGTGATTAAGTTACTTTATATTATCTGCACATATACATATAAGCACATGAAAGCTTTCTTTCTCAGTTCTTTTATTACGTAATCGCGAATCGGCGACATAGCGAAAGTCAAGCGCATACTTGTGTACTGTAACACAATAACTAATGACTAATAGTTAACAACTGACGAATCGCTCTTATCTTCTTCCAGGTAAGTTTCATTTGCAAAGCGGTAAGTTAAAGCTAAATCGGTGGAATTACGTCAGAGTATAATCTATATATTTATAAAAAAAATTGAACGCGAATGTTGAACGAACGTGACAATTCTTCTCATCGATAAATATATGCTATTAATTATTATTAATTAATAATCCGTAGTTGTGTGTTAATCCTATCGCGAGTAGACGAAGAACGACCTTCGATAGACCCGCGATCAGCCGAGCATTAATTATAGCTAGGCCAATAATTACACTGGCGCCTTATGCCAGTGTCGAGATAGCGACTAAATTTTTAACGGGGCAGAGAGAAAGTGCGTTGCGCAAACTTCCAATCGTTCGTTGCAACAATGTTGCGGTTGCTTGCAAGAAAGAAATTCAAGTGGAAAAACTCCAAAACTGGTTAACGTGTTGCGATATTTACGGAATCGAAATCGCAGGAACCACAGATCACTCAGGATTTCCGGTAATCGAATCGCGTCGTTATCTCACAGTTCTCCTCTATCGGGGTTATCAGCTAATAACTGCCTGACAATTCATTATGGCATATACGTTTTTTTTACGAACATTAATAAATCTTAAGCTTCGATATATTATAAGAAAGATTATCGATTTTTTTGTGAGAGAAAAATTTTAAGAATTAATAATTTTATGTGTGAGGTAAATTTTATTTTATTTTATATTTTTTCCGAAAAATTCGAAATCCATCGATCAAATGGAAATTTAAAGTTGGAGAAGGCGCCTGAAATCTCACGAAACCTTTCGTGACGCGGTTACACGTGTGCATATCGACTGTAATTTAACATCGATGATAAAGACAGTATGTAAATCGGTTCTCCTGCTATCAGACGACCCGACAGCACGATACCGCGAGTCTCCTCCGAGACCCTGACGATAAACTTTTCTCTTTGTACAGTCGGATTCAGCAGATGTAATGCCGACACGTCGTTTACATCCATTAGCATTCTGTTGCGGCATATACGAATTCGAAGAAGGCGGTAGAATCGTAATTGCAATCATCATAACTCAGATGCTCGTGCTCGTCCATCGATGCAAAATACGCTAAATCCCGTTATTATTCAACCATTCAAGGTTATTTCGCCGACTAGGTCAGCAAGGCCACGGTTAAAGGCTGTCTTTCGATAGTTATCGCTCGTATCGGCTTGAAAACGTAACGTATACAATCTATTGAAATTATTGAATCCAAGTTACTCGAAACGTATATCAATCTCTCTTTATATATACGCGCGAACAATTTTAAGCTCGATAATAGATTGCAATAAAATTTTGTGTCATATCGTATTTAAAAAAATTGACTCTGTCCGAGCGTGTGATTTCCCTCTGTTTTTCAACACATATTATATTTAATCGACGATTTGCAGAATAATTTTGCTCGAGGTCTTATTCATCGTTTGAAAATCCCTGATGGGAAGTTATAATCTCGCGATTGCAATTTTCGCCGTATGTCGTTTCGCGTGTAGAAGATATATAAGAAAAGTCTTTTCGATCTCACTCGCGCGCGTCAACATCGCGCGAATAACCTGCGCGCCGTGGAAATCCGGCTGTTCAGCCACAAACCCGGAAAACAGCTGGCGTTGCACGCACATACGGTTCTCTCGGGCTACGTCGTCATCGTTGCGTCGTCGTCACCGTCGTCGGCGTAGTCGACGAACGTCGAGTCGTGCAGCCTGTCAGAGAAAGTAATCACGTGCCATTCTTATAGACACCTTCGTGCTTTCAGCTAGCGGTTCTCATTATTGCCCGCGGAGCTTTGTCGCAGGTATATGTAATTATTCGTTTACATTCCTCGTTACCGTATATATAAAATAGTTTTACATCAATTTCAAGATAACGAGAGATCCAATGCAAAATTCAATTTAAATTTGAAAAACTATAAATGACAACTTGACGCTTTAAATAATGTATATATAGTAAGAATAAAATACGTTGTTTCGTAATTTATAGGTGAGAATATGTTACTACGAGGCTGATAAATGAGAATAAAAAAGTTTTTATGTTAACATTATAAAAAAAGTGTGTATTATATCATTAAAATTGTAAAATTTTTTTATACACATAGTAAAATAAGTCGCGCGAAAGCGAAATCGTCAAAAAAACTTTTAAAACTTCCTAGATACGTAAGAGCACGCAAGACAACCGGTTTTGCTGCGGTCGACGTAAAGATATATTAGCTCCTATAGCATAAAGCGAGACGAAAAAAAAATAGCGACTCGATGGCGATCGGCTCTTGGAATTGGAGAACATCTTATGATAACGGTCAAAAAATCTTTCTCGACGAAAAAATGTCATGATTTTAGAGAAACGCGTCACGATTTAATATTCGATATAAATAATATCACGATAAATTTATGCGCCATAAATTGCTCTGCAGATGCAGAATCAGCGGATATAACATAAAATTGCCACAAAATTGCTTAGTATATTCAATCATAGAGTATATCATTAAAATTTTTGTTCACTATCACACATTTATGTAGAAAATGAGATTTGATCTAATATCTTGGCGAATGATTCCCAAGTAAAACGTGATTGTAATTGCGATGTTGTTTAATTGTATAATTAGGTAAAAAATTTGTGTTCGCGAAAATATATAAATAAGAATGTCTCTTTAAGATTAATTATAACTTCTAAATATGATGAATGCTATAAAAATGATCGTATATACTGCTATACGTTATCGTATCTATCGCGCATACAACTTATTGGTGAAATTATGCAAACTGATGCAAAACTATATGCGATTAATATTAATTGGAAATTTGCTTTTCCTATCTTTACGTAATGTAAAAATGCGGAATTTGATTTTATTAGCCGACCAGCATCATCGCGATCATTCGCGAAGTTGTATCGGTCGGCGTAAAAACGGCATTCAAGCAACCTGCTCGAGTTAGAAGTCGAGTTGTCGACGCACTTCATAAATCAATGATAAATTCTCAGCCGAGTCTCAAGGTTTCATGGTATATACAGCATATTCCGCGTGTCAGTCCCGACGAATGTTAATGTCGCTAATAATATTACATGTTGTAACAGTACACGTAGTAGTGTCGTAATATATAGAAATTGAACGGTAATAATTAATCTCAGAGATAACATTGCCAAGGAGAAAATTAATCAAACTGAGATCCCTCGCAAATCATATAAAAAATTAATGTGAACATTTTGAGCTTATACGGAATCTTCTTTAAATTTGAAAAGATTTGAATTTCAAACTCTCCGTGATTATTTATCATTTGTGAAAGTTTTGTGAGAGCTTCGTTCGACTGTGTAACGTATAATTCTGTGATTTTCTGACAATAAAAACGAATATAATAAAAATGTAGCGGCAAATATATATACAGCGCGAAGAATTGCGTATACAGGTATATACCTTCGTCGCTATTAATCCGATGTTTTTCTTTCGCGCCGACGTTAATCAACAGAAGAGGAAATCTACCACTAATCCTGGCTATTATCGTTATTACAGGCTGTCTTACTGTTGTGCGCGTTCTTTCTAAAGCTGCGCGAGAACCGGAAGATACTATGATCCGATACGTCACAACTGGACAAACGAGATAGGGAAAAATGAATTCAATAAATTCACTTCACGCATATAAGTGTGTATAATATAATATTACTTATACATATATCATTACAGTTGCTATTATCTAAACGTTCTTTTAAATAGAACTTTAACATAACAAAATAAAAGAGTTAAAACGCATCCGAAATGACGGAAAATCATGTTTCATGCCAAGTATATTAATTGCTTCATTTTTTAATTAAATAATTCGAACAACGAATTAGTATGCAAAAAAATTCTCAACACACTCTGTACATTTGAGAGATAAAAATTTCTCGCGGGATGAAAGTTAAATTTACAGTCAGGAGAGAAGGGTTTGCTCTCTCGCGCGCACGAACCCTTCCTTCTTTCGATAACGCATGTTCGAAAAGTAATTTAAAGACGAGTTTCTCTTTTCGCACCGGAAAAAGGAACAAATAAAGAAAAGGAGAAAGAAAGAGTCGCGCTGTTTACGAGAGAAAGGCGAACCACGTCAGAGGAGCATACATATGTATACGTGCGTGTTCGTATGAGATATATGCCCGCGGATATACGCAATCGTTCCTGCGTCTCCGTTATTTCGGTGAAAGTGAAAGTCACGCGGCACGCGACTTCCTACTCCGATCAAGCTTGCTAGACAGATAATTCGCAATGCGACAGGATCTTTTGATGGCTATAAAACATTTTGGAAGAAAAATTCTCGCTGGCAATTAAGACTTTTAAATCATTCAGACTCGAGCTTCTCATGTCTCGATATAAACGAGAAAATTCCTTTTCAATTTATTTCAAATCCAGATTCCCCAGCTCTTTCGAAAAAATTTTATATTTCATGTATTTGTTTCAATTAACATATAGTCGAACAATATGTTTTAGTAATCTACTTATCATCATTTTTTTATTATTAGAGCAAGGAATAGGAAATATAAGACATATAATAAAATAACGATTAATTGTTGAATTTAAAAAACTGGAAATAAATTGTATATCAAGCGTCGAACGATTAATGACAACTATGTTTGATGAGAGCTATTTAAGTTAATGAAGAACAAAATTCTTTCTCTCTCTCTCTCTCTATGTTTCGAAGAACCTAGAAATGTAAATGATGATTAAAAACTACACGTATAAA